TGCATATTTTAGGTTATTGATATTTCTCCCAGCAATCTTGACTCCAGCTTGTGCTTCCTCCAGTGCAGCATTTCTCATGATGTAGTCTGCATATAAGTTAAATAATCAGGCTACAATATACAGACTTGATGTACTCCTTTTCCTATTTGGAACCAGTCTATTGTTCTATGTCCAATTCTAACTGTTGCTTCTTGATCTGCAAACAGATTTCTTAGGAGGCAGGTCAGATGGTCTGGTATTCCCATCTCCTTGAAGAATTTTCCACTTTGCTGTGATCCATACAGTCAAAGGATTTGGCATAGTCAATAAAGCAGAAGTAGACGTTTTTCTGTAACTCTCTTGCTTTTTTTGATGACCCTGTGGATGTTGGCAATTTGATCTCTGGTTCCTCTGCTTTTTCTAAAACCAGCTTGAACATCTGGAAGTTCATGGTTCACATACCGTTGAAGCCTGGCTTGGAGAATTTTGAGCATTACTTTGCTAGTGTGTGAGATGAGTGCAATTGTGTGGTAGTTTGAACACTCCGTGGCATTGCCTTTCTTTGGGATTGGAATGAAAACTGACCTTTCCCAGTCCTGTGGCCACTGCTGAGTTTTCCAAATTTGCTGGCATATTGAGTGCAGCACTTTCACAGCATCACCTTTTAAGATTTGAAATAGCTCAACTGGAATTCCATCACCTCCACTCGCTTTGTTCGTAGTGATGCTTCCTAAGGCCCACCTGACTTCACATTCTAGGATGTCTGGCTCTAGATGAGTGATCACACCATTGTGGTTATCTGGGTCATTAAGATCTTTTTTTGTATAGTTCTTCTGTGTATTCTTGCCACCTCTTCTTAATATCTTCTGCTTCTGTTAGTTCCATACCATTTTTGTCCTTTATTGTGCCCACCTTTGCATGAAATGTTCCCTTGGTATCTCTAATTTTCTTGAAGAGATCTTTAGTCTTTCCCATTCTATTGCTATCCTCTATTTCTTTGCATTGATCACTGAGGAAAGCGTTCTTATCTCTCCTTGCTATTCTTTAGAACTTTACATTCAAATGGGTATATCTTTCCCTTTCTCCTTTGTCTTTAGCTTCTCTTCTTTTCTCAGCTATTTGCAAGGGCTCCTCAGACAACTATTTTGTCTTTTTACATTTCTTTTTCTTGGGAATGGTCTTGATCACTGCCTCTTGTATAATGTCACGAACCTCCATCCATAGTTCTTTAGGCACTCTATCAGATCTAATCCCTTGAATCTATTGTTCACGTCCACTGTATAATTGTAAGGGATTTGATTTAGGTCATACCTGAATGGTCTACTGGTTTTCCTATTTTCTTCAAATTAAGTCTGAATTTGGCAATAAGGAGTTCATGATCTGAGCTACAGTCAGCTCCTGGTCTTGTTTTCGCCAACTGTATAGAGCTTCTCCATCTTTGGCTGCAATGAATAAAATCAATCTGATTTCGATGTTGACATCTGGTGATGTCAATGTGTAGAGTCTTCTCTTGTGTTGTTGGAAGAGGGTGTTTGCTATGACCAGTGTGTTCTCTTGGCAAAACTCTGTTAGCCTTTGCCCTGCTTCGTTTTGTACTCCAAGGCCACATTTGCCTGTTACTCCAGGTATCTCTTGACCTCCTACTCTTGCATTCCAGTCCCCTATAATGAAAAGGACATATTTTTTGGGTGTTAGTTCTAGAAGGTCTTGTAGGTCTTCATAGAACCATTCAACTTCAGCTTCTTCAGGATTACTAGTCAGGGCACAGACTTGGATTACTGTGATATTGAAAGGTTTGCCTTGGAAACAAATAGAGATCATTCTGTTGTCTTTGCGATTGCACCCAACTACTGCATTTTGGACCCCTTTGTTTACTATGAGGGCTATTCCATTTCTTCTAAGGGATTCTTTCCCACAGTAGTAGATATAATGGTCATCTGAATTAAATTAACCCATTCCAGTCCATTTTAGTTCACTGATGCCTAAAATGTCAATGCTTACTCTTGCCATCTGCTGTTTGACCACTTCCAATTTGCCTTGATTCATGGACCTAACATTCCAGGTTCCTATGTAATATGGCTCTTTACAGCATCAGACTTTACTTCCATCACCAGTCACAACTACCAACAGGTATTATTTTTGCTTTGGCTCTGTCTCTTCATTCTTTTTGGAGTTATTTCTCCACTTCTGTAGCGTATTGGGCACCTACCGACCTCGGGAGTTCATCTTTCAGTGTCCTATCGTTTTGCCTTTTCATACTGTTCATGGGGTTCTCAAGGCAAGAATACTGAAATGGTTTGCCATTCCCTTCTCCAGTGGGCCACGTTTTGTCAGAACTCTCCACCATGACCCGTCCATCTGGGTGGCCCTACATGGCATGGCTCATAGTTTCACTGAATTAGACAAGGCTGTGGTCCATGTGATCAGTTTGGTTAGTTTTCTGTGATTCTGGTTTTCATTCTGTATGCACTCTTGACAGATAAGGATAAGAGGCTTACGGAAGCTTCCTGATGGGAGAGACTGAGGGGGAAACTGGGTCTTGTTCTGATGGGCATGGCCATGCTCAGTAAATCTTTAATCCAATTTTCCGTTGATGGTCGGGGCTGTGTTCCCTCCCTGTTGTTTGACCTGAGGCCAAACTATGGTGGAGGACATGAAATAATGGCGACCTCCTTCAAAAGGTCCTGTGCACGCACTGCCACGCTCAGTACCCCCGACCCAGCAGCAGGCCACTGCCAACCCACGTCTCTGCCAGAGACTCCTGGACTCTCATAGGCAAGTTTGGGTCAGTTTCTTGCGGAGTCACTGCTCCTTTCTCCTGGGTCCTGGTGCACACAAGGTTCTGTTTGTGCCCTCCAAGAGTCTGTTTCCCAGTCCTGTGTAAGTTCTGGTGGCTCTATGACGGGGTTAATGACAACCTCCTCCAAGAGGGCTTATGCCATACTCAGGTCTGCTGCACCCAGAGCCCCTGCCCCTGCAGCAGCCCACTGCTGACCCGAACCCTGCAGGAGACACTCAAACACAGCTCTGGCTCAGTCTCTGTGGGGTCTCTGGGTCCTGGTGCACACAAGGTTTGTTTGAGCCCTCTGAGCATCTCTGGAGGGTAAGGGGTTTGATTCTAAATGCAATTTCACCCCTCCTACCATCTTGCTTATGGCAGACACCACCATTATGGCAGAAAGCAAAGAAAAACTAAAGAGCCTCTTGATGAAAGTGAAAGAGGAGAGCAAAAAAGTTGGCTTAAAACTCACATTTAGAAAACCAGGATCATGGCATCTGGTCCCATCACTTCATAGCAAACAGATGGGGAAACAGTGGAAACAGTGGCAGACTTTATTTTCTTGAGATCCAAAATCACTGCAGATGGTGACTGCACCCATGAAATTAAAAGACACCTGCTCCTTGGAAGAAAAGGTATAACCAACCTAGACAGCATATTAAAAAGCAGAGACATTACTTTGCCAACAAAGGTCCATCTAGTCAAAGCTATGGTTTTTCCAGTAGTCATGTATGGATGTGAGATTTCGACTACAAAGAAAGCTGAGCACTGAAGAATTGATGCTTTTGAACTGTGGTGCTGGAAGACTCTTGAGAGTTCCTTGAACTGCAAGGAGATCCAACCAGTCCATCCTAAAGGAAATCAGTCCTGTATATTCATTGGAAGGACTGATGCTGAAACTGAAACTCCAATACTTTGGCCACCTGATGCAAAGAACTGACTCATTTAAAAAGATCCTGATGCTGGGAAAGACTGAAGGTAGGAGAAGAAGGGGATGACAAAGGATGAGATGGTTGGATGCCATCACTGACTCGATGGACATGAGTTTCAGTAAACCCCGAGAGTTGGTAACGGGGCTGCCTGGCATGCTGCAGTCCACAGGGTTGCAAAGAGTCAGATACAACTGAGCAACTTAACTGAACTGAACCGTATTGCTGGGGCTTCTCCTCTGCCCTTGGACATGGGGTATCTTTTTTTGGTGGGATCAATATCAAAATCTGCAAGCGTTCAAATCCCTTATGTGAAATGGCAGAGTATATGTAGACTTTAAATCACCTCTAGACTACTCATAATACATACTACAATGTAAATGCTATATAAATAGTCTCCAGGAACACAGTAAATGCAAGATTTACTTTTTGGAACCTTCTGGAATATTTTTTCAAGTGTTTTTCGATACTCAGTTGAATCTGTGGATGAAAAACTGGAATCAGATAGCCGACTATAATTTGACAGTCACAAAGTATCAAATGCCCACCCTTAGTTAAGCACTGAGAAGAATCACAAGTGAAACACATAAGCTTACTGTGAATACACATATTTAAAATATAGCCTAATAAAACATAAAGGCCAAAGTCTGTTATTTACTCCCACATATGATATGGCTCTGTAAAGCAATGGAAATAACACTTAACAAATGCTATGGGCTTCCCAGGTGGTGCTACTGGTAAAGAAGCCGCCTGCCAATGCAGGAGACATAAGAGACGTGCGTTTAGTCCCTGGGTTGGGAAGATACCCTGGAGGAGGGCGTGACAACCCACTCCAGTATACTTTCCTGGAGAACCCCCTGGCCAGAGAAGCCTGGTGGGGACAGTCCATGGCATCACAAAGAGTCGGGCACAACTTGGGTTTCCCTGGTGGCTCTGATGGTAAAGAGTCCACCTGCAATGCAGGAGACCTGGGTTCCATCCCTGGGTTGAGAAGACGCCCTGGAGAAGGGAAAGGCTAGCCACTTTGGTATTCTGGCCTGGAGAATGCCATGTACGGTATAGTCCATGGGGTGGTAAAGAGTCAGACACGGCTGAGTGACTTTCAATAAATGTTACTTGGTTTGAATAACTGTCAATATGAAACTCATAAAACAAATTATAAATGAATCTTAATCCAATCAAACAGTCTTTCAAAAACATGATTCTGTTAGGTTTTTAAGTATCATTCAATGTTGAGTTGCCATCTAGAGACCACAGGAGGACTCAACGTTAGTCCTAAGTATAACAAACAATGACTGACCTATAACGATTACCTGTTTTTCCCCAACAGAAGGACACGGAGGGATCTCAGAGTAGAAAGCCCACTAATTTCTTCAATCTGATTATCATATAGATCCAAGAATATTAGCCTCTGGAGATTGGAGATATTCTGGATCTGAGTTATAGAATTGTGCTGAAAGTTCAGGAGACGAAGGTGCTCTTCCCCATCAATAATAGGACACACAGTCAGCTTCTGCCTAGAAAACATGTTTAAAGTTAGTAAGGTTCTGATTCAGCAGTCTGCCTTGTCTCAAAAATATTAACAGTGGTATCTTTGTATGCCCGCGCTGTGAGAAGAAGAAAAACAGAACCACTTCTTGCCTTCATGAACCAAGCATTCTAGATCTAATTGTAAATCACTCATATAAAAACTGATATACTTTAGCAAGGGTAGTTATTAAAATTAAATCTAGCTCTCACAGTATTAAAAAAAACTCCACTACTAATAATTTCACATAAAGTTAACCATCAGAAAACACTCAGTGTAATTGCCTTCTGTGGGAGAGGTTGAGATGATTCAAGGAACCATGTCACATAACCAGAGAAATGTGTTTGCCATTAACCCATTGATATAAAGACTGCTCAGGCATTGCTCAGCTAGAAAGTTTGCTTAACCTCTTGCTGTTAGATATGTACTGCTGAGAAGGTTTCTCTGCTGGTTATAATGCTAAGATAAGGTTGAAATCCTTCATCCACTATTCTACTGCAGATACTTTGCTAGATTTAAAGATAGGGATTGAGTCGTAAACACACTTATTCATTCAAAATTTGTTAAGAGTTTATTTTGTCCAGGGCTTTGTTTTAGATGCTGGGGATACAGAACTGAACAAAACTCCCCATGTCTGTGGAGTTTACATTCTACTCGGAGGAGACAAACAATAAACGACAATAAATGTGCTAAGTTAAATATTTAATATGTGAGAGGGTGTTAAGTGCTGAGAATAAAAAGCGGAGAAAGGTGCTGGAACTGTCAGGGTTGAAGGAGTTGCTGCTTTGGAGCGTTGGGGCAGGGAAGGCTATCCCTAGGTGGTGACATTGGAGGAAAGATCTGATGGAGGTATGAAAGTGAGCCTACTGACACATGGTGAAATAGCATTCCAGGCAGAGGGAACAGCAAATGCAAACCCCCTGGTGTTTAAGCACTCTTGGTGTATTCAACGAGCAGGCATGCAGTAGCAGGGTGAGTGAAGGCCAGACTAGGAGGAGGAGAGGGCAATAAGGTAAAAGGGAACTCAACTGAATAGTGCTGGGAAACCCATCGGAGGAGTATATTTTGAAGTTTTTTTCCTATCCTAAAACCCATTTTTATCAATGTCATACTTTAGAACCTCTACAGTACTCTTTTTAGAGTATGGTCAAGATCCTTTACATTACATAGATATAAAATTTCTCTGCATACTCCTGGAAGGATAAACTTAAAATTGGCAATGATTATACCTAGGTAGGAGAACTAAATGGCTGAAAAACAAGGGGGAGGAAGAGAGACTTTTGTACCTTTCGAATCTTGTACTATGTCTATATATTATCTAGTCAAAAAAATTAAATAAGTTGTCCTCACCTTTCTAGAGTCAACCTGTCTGAGTAAAGAATTTTCTCTTCAGAAGAACGTTGGAGAATGGGAAATGAAGGCATTGATGAGCTCACCAAATTAATATGATCACCTATTAAAAATAATATACAAATTACTTGAATAAGAAAAATCTTTCAGATTTTGAAACTAAAATCACCTCATATTTGGAGAACTTTGGCATCTATCAACATCCTTTCTAGAAAATACAGCTTCCATAGCTCTCTGTATTTGAAACTAAAGTTCAGCTTGTTTTCCTCCTCAGGTCTAAACTATGTGTTCTGTACATACCAATTAATTTTTCCCTTGCCTTGTAAATTGGTTGATAGTACAGGACTACTCTAGTGCTACATTAATCCCTTATAATCCTGACTGTTAATACTATATTTTAACTCTCTTATAACTGAGATGATAGTCCCTCATTACCAGATACATTTGGGCCAGCACTATGACAGCCCTGCCGGATTCTGGACTTTGAAGGTGTCTGAATGGAAGAATCTCCAAATGCTGATAAGGAGCTCGTGGCAGTTTTCATTTCCAGCCCACATAGTTCTGTCACATTTGTTGTGGATGAGATGCAGGATGATTTATTATGAAGCGAAGGACTTATTACTCTTCCATCTCCTTCAAAATATCAAAAAATTTATCACAAAGCTACACAGTACATGACTTTGGAGAAATATAGAGAAAGTAGTTTTGGATAGCAAATGTAAACCTCGAATCATCCTTTTTTCTTTGTGTGTTCAGCTACTATTGGTAGAGAACATTCCAGAGACCAAAGTGGATGTCAATAAATCTTGCACATTTGCAGTTAGGTTTAGTTAGGGAGAGGTCACACAGAGTCGGGCATGACTGAAGTGACTCAGCAGCAGCAGCAGCAGGTATCTGACACCCCCATGAGGCTTATAGGCTGTCGGCTTGGTGTTGCCCTGCCACTAAGTAGCTTCCAATCCAGTGGCACATGGAAGTGAGCAGCTGTACAGAGCACAGGCACAAAATGCAGAGGGAAAACCAATGCCTATTTATATATTCACACATAAGTGTGTCTGGTTAGTTTTCACTTAAAGAAGATCACAGATGGGTTTCGGTGGAGGTGGATATTAGGATATAGTCTAAAGACCTAGAAGAATGTAGAATAGTTAATAAAAGATGCTGAGAAGCTCCAGAAATGAAGTAAGACTTGAGCAATGGGTCAAAGATACCAATTTGAACACCAGAAGAAACTGACTATTTTCTTCTACCAAGAGAAAATTTCCTGAAAGCAGCAACTGATGTGGATGGAAGCAAAAAGCAATAAAATAGAACCTAAAGTGCCACAGAATTCTACTGCTTAAACTGACTGATAAGACCAAAAGATGAACCTAAATATAGGAAGCTATCATTCTTTGGGAGGCCATCTTAAAATCAAGTTCCATACATATTATATTAAAGAGCTGTAAAGCAATGATATTTGCTAACATCTCCAGGTATGCAAGATATATATCAAAGTGCACATGCCTGGCTTCTTGAACAAAATACTAGTGTTCACACCCCACTTTTCTGAATATCATGAAATATCAATATAATTCATAATGATGTTCTAGAGTACAAGCATTCAGAACAAAGATCATGTCCATAAATGAACTGGTCTTGTGACATGACCAGTTGCTAGCAAAATACCCAAGCAACCATAAGTCAGTAAACTGATTTGGAAATCAAAAACTGAATAGTTAAAAAAACAAAAACTAGAGTAAGGATTAACTGATTAAGGATTAACTGGTCAGCTAAAAATAATAAAGGAAAAACTCCAAACAATAAACAACCTTGATTTCCCTTGTTAGTGTCAGAGTTAGGTTTTTAAATTACCTTGTTAAGGCTTCAAGCCAGTGCCCAATTTAGAAAGCAAATTTAAATTTAATAAGACTTCGGATGTAGAGGCAATAATCAAGGAGTAAATTTCACTTACAGTCAATTAATAAAGGAATTTCATCCTCACTCTTTCTACCTCTTATTATACACAGAAGTCAAAATCATGATCTGCATGATGAGCTTACTATCATGATCAGTATGACATACATCTTACAATAAATAGCAGAATATGAGAATGATGAGATAGAAAGGCCTTAAAATCCACAAACAAGGCCCTCTAAACAACTGGGTACCAGAGTGATCTGTAATCGAAACATCCACAATAAATACCCATACATACAGTAGAGGTATGTATCAAACACCCATACATACATATATGTGAACTGTTTCATCCTGCTTTAAAGCAAAATTTTAATTGAAACATTTTCTGTTATTGGTAATTTCATGTATCACTATTTAATGTACCAAATAGTAGCTTTTGTCTTCCTAATTAAATTTATAAGCTCCTGGAGAAATAGAGCTCATTTTATATTCTTTATATTCTTTGCAGAATTTAAATTCAGTAGGCAATCATTAAATTAACTGACTTTCCAATTTATTGAGAGTAAGTCAGAAATCTGTTTTGTGAATGTTATTTCTGTTAAAAAAGAACATCAGAAATTCTTGCATTTTAGGATAAAAAATTCTGAATGAATTCTTTCATAATTAGAATCCCAAAGTGTTTAAAGGCATAATGGTATATATTTGGTAAGAGTTTTTACTACACCACACCCTAGATATATGATGGATGGAGGGGTAGATGAGATGGATGGGTGAGTGGATAGATAGACAGAGAGATGGGCAGGGGGATGGACAGATGGTTGGCTGGATAGATGGATAATACAGTAAATGTTCATATGCTTGTCCACTCAGCCTTATCTTTAACACTGTGTTGGTAATCAAAATTCTGATTTTGTATTTTTCATGATTCATCATGATGTTAAGAGTCAAGCACTACCTCTTCCTCTCTATATACATATTTTGGCATTCTTATTCAAGGGATTTAGTTAATTCAGGCCTGGAACTGAGATTTTACTGTATAGCAGTCCCTGGCTGTTACAAAACTTCAAGGATACGGGCTTAACTCTTAACATTAATATAAAAAGCCTAAAAGAAAACATATACCAAGTTTAAGACCAAGTAGCCTAACTAAAACAAAGAGTATCTTTACTTTGGGCTGAGAGTACTTCTGGTTAATTTATGGCATATGTTCAATTAATTTTGAAAAACATAAAAAAATATGAAATGAAGTAAAATTAATTATAATAATTCAGAATCAGAATGCAGTTTATTAGATAGAGATTCCCTCATTTTTCCTGATAAATTGCTACTTAAAATTCTTCCAAAGTTTTGTGCCTTTGGAGGAAGAACAGTGAGTACAGAAGTCAAGAAAACAGCTACACACTGTGAGGCCTTCTTTGCATAAAACTGCCTGGAAATAGGAAGGAGGCACATTTGGAAACAATCAGGTACCAATTTTAGAGAGAATGATTTTGAATAAAATCTTTTAATGAAAAAAATAGGTTTATTTTTCCCTAAGGAACTAATTTGTATTTTATGGGTCATTATTTATGTATAGGATTTTATTCATCTTTCAGGTTCACAAAATTCAGTGCTTCTATACTATTTCCTCATTAGCAAATATCTAGAAATACTTAAACACTTGAATAAATTTATTCAGCCAGACATACACAAACCTGCCTACCAACTTCATCTTCTAACTCAAGAATACCCTGAGGAAAGTATTTAAGTTTGGCTAATGATTCAGAAAACAAATTTAAGAGTTATTATCAAAAAAGTAAAGGAAGTTCACAATGTAAACACAAGAAAATTCTATTTGAAATTTTTCAGGTTCACATCTATAGCTCTGTGCGTAATACAGTGTCTGGCACACAGAACATACTCAATGGATATGTAGTGAACTGAACCAAAGAAGGGAAGACAGATGTTCTCTGCACTGTGGAACAGTGGTTAGGTTGATGTCATGTCCAGCAATTGACCAAGAGAAGAATTCAAGATATAGGAAACAGAAAAGTGATGTCAGATTAGCTGGGCCCAAGAGGAAAGTCCAGAAATTATAAAACAAAAAAAGAAAGTTAATATTGAAAATTGCCACGTGTTCATGTAAGATGAACAATCTAGAGAGGCCTATACGGATTATCCTTCTTATGCAATAACTCCTAGATGAGGACAGTACTGTATGTAAGTATTTTGCAGTGCTTAAGACTAGTACATTACAGACAGCTAACAATTGTTGGCAACTAAGTAACAACTCAAAAGTTCTAAAGAAGATTTCTTCTTGAACTGAACAATACATTTCAGAAATATAACCAGATCATATGAGGCTGTTTTTCAAAGGGTGGTCCACAAACCACATCCATCAGAATCTCTTGAGAAGTTATTAAACCACACTTTTCCAAATCCCACCCAAGACCTACAAAGTCAGAATGGGGAAGGGGATGAGGGAAGCACTAAGAATCTGCATTCCTAATAAGATCTTGCATGATGCACACAAATGTCAAAGCCCTTTGATATAATTATATGTGTTAGTAAGGGAAAGAGATAGCTTCTTTTCTACTCCTGACTTTCCATTCTTTCCATTGTGTCCTTACTTACTAAATATCTGTGTTCCCATAGTCTTACCCTCACTAATTAGCTATTTTTCCTAATTCTAAGACATTATTTGGAAGGTTCTTTCTAATTCTCTTGTGTATAGCCCACCCCAAACTAAAATATGACAGTTTTTCCTATATTAGAAAAAACCTACTATGTTGTCTACATAAAATCAATTCTGATTTAAACAAATGCCCAATGAATTTGGTAACCAATGAATACTGTCATCTTTAATTGAAGTTTATTTGGATCCAGAAATTCAATATTATTAAACAATATTACTTAAAGATGATAAATCATATCTGATCTCTATTCTCTGACAATACCTTGTCTACTTGAGTAGTTTCTTTCCAGGTCATGTTGTAAGAGTCGACCAGGGAATGATGGTGTTTCTCTATTTAGCTTGAATTCAACCTAAAAAACATTCAAGACACGACGTTCAGAGAATGCTTTATAAATTCATTTGTACCTTTTTAGATTCTAGATTTAAGTGATATCATATGATATCTGTCTTGCTCTGTCTGACTTACTTCACTCAGTAAGACAATGTCTAAGTCCATCCATGTTGCTTCAAATGCCATTATTTCATTCTTTTTTATGATTGAGTAATATTCCATTGTATATATGTACCACATCTTCTTTGTCCTTCATTTAAGAATTCCTCCAGTAACATGTATTTTAAAACTTTTTAGAAAAAAACGTGAATTGTGCCAGTTGAAGGTGTCCAACTTGGTCAAAGAAGAAAAATTTGTGTTGCGTCTTGAGACATAGTTGTGTGGGAGATGGGTGAGTATATCTGAGTGCTCAGGTGACAAGAGGGTAAGAAAACATGTGTATCTCAAAGATCAAATCAAAAGCCAGAAACTAAGGAAATGCCAGGGAGAATATGGGCAAATTGTTTTGGGAAAAGAATGTTCAAATCTTAATTTCTAAATCTCATTAGGCCTAATAAATTTCCACTGCTAATAAATTTTTTCTGGAATGTTAGATATGGGCCCCCAAATTATCATATTTTATCTAATGTAAGAGTCCATCAGTAGTAAAACATGTCATCATTTTACCCACTACTAAGAAAGAAAAACTTTCCCGATTAAAATACTAATATGATCTGCCATCAGTTTTAAGAAGGATTCTGATTTAATGCTTAAATGCCAAAAAAGAAAAAAAAACCCATCTTACATCTTTCAATTGATGAAATAAGATTCAGTTTGTAAAGGAAGTGAGGTTTTTTTGGCTTTGCTTTGATTTTTTTAAATTGATGTACAGTTAATTTATAATACTATATTAGCTTCAGATACATGATGTTGTGATTCAGTACTTTTATAAATTATACTCCATTAAAAGTTATTACAAAATAATGGTTATAATTCTCTGAGATATACAATATATCCTTCTTGCTTATCTATTTTATACACAATATTTTTATCACTTAATCCTATACCCCTAATTTGCCCCTCCCCCTTCCCTCTCTTTGGTAACTACTAGTTGGATTTGTGTAGGCAAAAAATAAAAATTAGCTTCAAAGTAGAGACCAAAGTAAATACACTTAAATTTTCCAGTTTAGACTCTGCTCTTTAAATCATGCTATTTGTGCAGAATATAAAACAATTTATATTCAATCTAAATACAAATCTGCTTGAATCTTACTTTGTTTTTTTCAGGAAGCGATGATGTTTGAATAACCAGATGAAGCCCACAGTTCACCTACAATGTAAAAATTAAACCATAAAATATGCTCTTAACTTATACACACACACACTCCTCCCCAAAACAGTACATAAAGATATAACCAAAAAAATTTGAATGAAACAGAATGCTCACTTTTTGTTTGTTTCTGGTAAATTATCATGTTCTGGATATTTGCTGAAAACAATAAAATTGCAACTAATAATTAAAAGGTTTCACTGTGATTTAGCTTCCAAAATGTCTGCAATTTAACCCTCTACTTAGCACCTCACGCCTTCGTCACCTGCCATTTGAGGTCTAAGTAAATATCTCAGTGAGACAGGTAAAGGAGGTGGGGGTGCCTGTTAATATTTTATGAATTTAAAAAAAAAAGGAATTGACCAGTTAAAGGAATTTAAATGAAGCTTAGCCTTTCACAGCAGACCAGCTCCACCTTCTGGGAAGCGCAGATCCTGGACAAGACTTTGAATACCCATCACACAATGTTAAATACCCTCCAAGTGCCTTGGTCCAGTCCACGAACCTCAAGCCTCGGTCAGACAATAGCTTAAGTAGACTGAGCGGTCCTGGTCTCAATACAGCTCATCACCTAGGACAAAGACGCCAGTCAGAAAGGACGGTGCGAATGGAAATAAAGAGAAAGTAGGAAACCCAACCTACGTTGCTTGCAGCCCGGCCAGAAACAGAGCGGTATTTCCCGGGAATCATGGCAGGAGACAGTCCAAGAAGATCAGTTAGATCTGCCTTAGAAATGACGCTACAGCACAGATTCAGAGACCGAAAGGGGTCATCTCCTAGGCAACCCGCTCAGGAGTTACCATGGAAACCTTCATTTCCGGTCTGGTCCTCCCCCAAATCCACTGGTCAATGCTCTCGTTAGAAGGCCCATTTGAAGGGCCCCAAATGTCAGCATTTCCTCGTTCTAGTTTCCCGGTTTCAGAAAAAACAGACCGTTAAGGTGAAGAGGAGAATAAAACGAGGAAGAGGCCGGCCACCTCGGTAGCTATGACAACCACCACTTCCGGTCCGTCCCTCTTTACTGCCCACCTCAGCTGGGCCCGCGCGAAATTTGTATCCCTTTGCCTGCTCTCAGGGGAAGACTGCTGGAAGGAGGAGGACCTCCAACAGCCGGGTACTCTCCAAGGTAGGGGCCGCAGTTTGGCACTTTCTCGCGGCCAAAGCAGATGCAGCAGAGACGGAGTCGGCAGGTGAGGGCGCTGGGAGTGCGAGGCCGTGCTGAGGATGCGGGTTCCCAGCTCTCGGCCCCGAGCCCCGAGGCCGCTGCCTTGCCCATCCGCTGCGACAACACCACCAAGTCCGGGAAGTTGCTGTTTCGCTTTCCCAAAAGACGGGGCCGTGCGGCTGCTGTGGACAGCTTCGTGCGGGGCCGCCGGCCAACTGGTAGTTGCAGTGACAGCTCCGTCATCTGCTCCGAACACTTCGCTCCCGTCTGTTTTGATGTCTCTTCGGTTATCCAGCAGAATCTGTGCTTCTCCGAGCGCCTGCGACCCGTGGCGGGCGCCGTGTCCATCTTGCACCCGGTGGCCTTCCTGCTGAAACCTAAGGGGAAAAAAGAGGAGACGGAGCGGGCGGCCGGGGAAGGGAGGAAAGCCCCAGGCAGTCAGGCAGTCAGGCAGTCCCAGGCTACCCCAGGGCCAGCCTTCTGTACTCTCCTCTGGCCCGGCTAGAGGGCTTTCGGCTTCACAGATAAAGGGCCACCCGAAGAGTCCCCCGAGGGTCTCGCAAGGACCCCGGTCTGTGGTTAGGCTCCTTCACTTAGTGTCATTTTGGGAAAGTCACCTCACCACGACGGTTTTTGTTAATCAGTGATCTCCAAGAGCCTATTTAGCATTAACACTCTGGAATTATAGTTTCTTCTACCTCCTGTTCCCCAAAACACACACGCACACTCTTTCTTTTCCTTCACATTATGGAGACGCCTTCATTCTCCGCTCCTGAGTTTTTAAATACAAAGGATTTGAGTAAATCTCAAGAAATGAGGTACTTTAAACTTTCTGCATAGCGTATCATTGTATGATAAGCTGCAAGAATTATCAATTATACCGTCAAAATGGTGGGGGAATGGGAATGCAAGATGCTAATGAAGATAGGGCTTTGCTGATGGACATCCCTTCCCCCTCCTAAACTTCCTCTTGACTAGTTGCCTTTAAATTAAATCGTTCCAGTGAGCTGAATTCTCCTATCCTTGCTCTCTTCTGCCTACTTTCTCAGTACTCATAAGATTGATTACACTTATTTTGCATCTGGTTGCTACTGCCTTCTTCCCAACTTCCCAACTTCTCAGCCTTCTTTGAGTTAGTCAAACTTCAGCTCTATCACTGTAACCTAGATTAACTTATGACTCTTCATTGGATCTAAAAGATAAGTCAGCAGACCTGTAACTGACATTCTAGTTTTGAATATACAGAGGTATTCTTGAATTTTAGAGCTGAAGAAAACCTAATTGATCATATAGTCTAGATTCACAGTTTATGCACAAGGAAGCCAATCCAAGGTTAATTTCCTCAGGTTAATTGCCTATAATCTTTTCTCTAGGTCCAATCACCAGACAGAAACTTTCTGCAATACCAACCTGCTTCCTACATGGGGTGGGTGCTTAAGACCCTTTAATGACATCCAGCAGTTATTAAGATGGAGAATAAAATTATTAACAAAGTCCCTGCATGCTTTTTGCCCCTGCTTGCGACAGCAGTCCCGCTCCAGTCCATGGTCTTTGTTGCTCACTGTGCACCAATCATGCTGATCTTTTCTGTTTCTGAACATACTATATTCTTTCCTACCAAGTCTTTTCTGAGTTATTTCATATAATGCCCTGGAATTATGCCCCTGCCATTCCCCATCATCACCAATTAAATCCTTTTACTTCAAAAATCTGTTCAAACGTCCTTCCCTTTTGATCTCCTAATTTTATATTCTCATTCTTCAAACACCTCAGTAGAACATGTACTTCAGCTGCACTCATCACAGTTGTCATGAAATAATTATGTATTTTGCTTAATATAATGTTTTTCCTCACATTAGAATGGAAGCTCTCTGACTGCAGGGCTCTTATCTGATTTCTTCATTATTGAATTGCCAGTAATAGAGCAATATTTTGCAAATTTAAGGAATTCAGTAAATATTTGTGGAATGGTTATATGACTATAAGAACAGTTTTTTTAGTACAATGGAATTTCAGTTCTCTGCCAGTTTCCCTTCTCACCAAACTGTATAGCATTCAGGAAATCTCTGCCTTTTCCTTGAACCAACTCCCCACCATCATTACCTAGCCAGTATTTACCCAAGCCCATATTTATACATCTATCTATAGATATATGTAGATACGTAGTAAAATAGTTAAACATGTGCCACACACGCCTTTATACTGTTTTTCTCTTTTTCATAATTCTCCCATCTAATAAAAAACTGAGAGAAGAAAAGCCAGGCTAATAAAACAACCAAACATTTTATAATACAACAAACGCTAACTATTAAGAAATCCAGAATAGATACCAACTCTGTTTTTCAATTAATAAATATATCCAGCCAGCATTTCTAACAATCCATATTACATTAATATATATGCTGAGTTATTAGGAGACTGTGTAGGTTTTAACAATAGTACTTTATAAGTATAGCAATAAATAGACTTGATAGCAATAAATATTTTTAGCCTTGATAGCAATAAATTTAGGTTTGATAGGAGTAAATTTTTAGCCAGGTCTGGACCCCAATAGCATCTCTAAAAATCATTACCTGTGCCACCCACCTCTCACTCCTTCCCCCGCTCACTTTTTCTTTTCAGGACAAACTGACTAAACAGCAGATTTCCAGTCATTCTACAACATTTATTGAGGAGCTGTTGTAAACACGGTCTTCTCTGGTGGCTTGGTGGTAAAGAATCCACCTGCCAATGCAGGAGATGCCAGTTTGATCCCTGGGTTGGGAAGATCCCCTGGAAAAGGAAATGGCAACCCATTCCAGTGTTCTTGGGACTTCCCTAGTGGCTCAGATGATAAAGAATCTGCCTGCAATGAAGGAGACCTGGGTTCAATCCCTGGTTAGGAAAGATCCTTTGGAGAAGAGCATGGCAACCCACTCCAGTCCAGTGTTCCTGCCTGGGAAATCCCAAGGACAGAAGAGCCTATTGGGCTACAGTCCATGGGATCACAAAAGAGTCAGACACAACTTTGCAACTAAACAACAATTTTAAACACTGTTTTAGGTGCTTGGTGCTATAGGTAGAAGTATGAATGTAGCCTATCTTCAGGGAGCTTGAGGAAAGATTAGGGACCACCCCCAAGGAAGAAAGGGGGTTCTGATGTGCACCATACACTGGTAATTTGTTTCTTTTTTTTTTTTGAATTTTTTTTCTTTTAAATTTATTTTTATTTATTTTTTTTCCATTTATTTTTATTAGTTGGAGGCTAATTACTTTACAACATTGCAGTGGTTTTTGGTAATTTGTTTCATGTAGCTAGGATTATTGTCTCTCCTTAACTGTTAATTTTGCATCCTTGTTTTTCTAACCCAACTATATTTTTTATACTTTAAATTCCGATACAGCCAAGTACAGCAATGTGCTTAGATCATTAAATGACCAGAAGCTGAGCATGTGTAACCACTATGTAAGTCAAAGAAATAAAACATTACTAGTAACTCTGTTGAAGCTGAAACTCCAGTACTTTGGCCACCTCGTGCGAAGAGTTGACTCATTGGAAAAGACCCTGATGCTGGGAGGGATTGGGGGCAGGAGGAGAAGGGGACGACAGAGGATGAGATGGCTGGATGGCATCGATGGGCATGAGTTTGAGTAAACTCCGGGAGTTGGTGATGGGCAGGGAGGCCTGGCGTGCTGCAATTCATGGGGTCGCAAAGAGTCAGACACGACTGAGCAACTGAACTGAATTGACTGAGCAACTCAAGAGCCCAAGCCTCAGTCCCCTCAACCCTCCTCAAAGCAACCAAGTTTGCTTTCTTTTGAACTTAATATAAATAGATTCATATTGTTGGCATTTCTTGCACCTGGCTTTTTTATTCAACAATGTATTTGTGAGATTTATCCATGTTGTTGCATATAATATAGCAGTAATTTGTTTACATTATTATATATCAATCCATTGTTCAAATATACAAAATTTTTTTTATCTCTTATTGTTGGACATTTAGATTGTTACCATTTGAGGGCTATTTTAAGTAATGATGCTGTAAATATCCTTCTACATGTCTTTTTCATATGATCTCCCTTAAGATTGACTAGTTTGATCTCCTTACTGTCCACGACTTTCAGGAATCTTCTCCAGCACTACAGTTCGAAGGCATCAATTGTTTGGCGTTCTGCCTTCTTTATGGTCCAACTGTCACAACCATACATGACCACTGGGAAGATCATAGCCTTGACTATACAGACCTTTGTCGGCAGAGTTATGTTTCTACTTTTCAACACATTGTCTAGGTTTGTCATCACTTTCTTGCCAAAAAGCAATCATCTTCTAATTTCATGGCTACAGTCACCATCCGCAGTGATTCTGGAGCTCGAGAAGAGGAAATCAGTCACTAATTCCACCTTTTCCCCTTCTATTTGCCATGTAGTAATGGGGCCAGATACCATGATCTTCGTTTTTTAGTATTTAGTCTTAAGCCAACTCTTTTTTTTTTTTCATTTATTTTTATTAGTTGAAGGCTAATTACTTTACATCATTGCAGTG